ATATATTCTTAACTTAGTTTGTTCTAAGTATGTTCTCAAGCATTTCCTAAAATTTTGGAATGGATTGAAGTCGTGCTTGCATCACATCTAAAATTTGGGGGTCCAGCTCACGTACTGAAAGGGAATGCAGAAAAGTTGGAGTATAGGTCAGAGATGTAACTGTTTGTGGGATACCCTAAAGATACCAATGGATAATTTTTATAGTCCTCTAGATGGGAAGGTATTTGCACAAATGCAACCTTCCTGGAGGATAACTATATTAGTAATCGTTAGTCCAGGAATAAAGTCTCGTTGGAAGAAATGAGTGGGAGCAATTCCACCCCCATCAATTCCTGGAACACAACCTGAGGTAGATATCTCATGGTGTTAAAAATACCTGGACAATGTGATCTGAGTGGGAGAGATGATTTATCATCTGATCCAATAAATCAATAGAATGTTGAAGGTAATGAGGAGGTAATGGTTTCATCTAATTGTATTACCATCATTAATGGAAATATTACACTCCAAATGACGCCATGATCCAAGATCAATCGCCCCTTAGATAAAGTATCAGTTCACCTTTAAGGTACTTGTTGAGTGGAGAGTCCAAATCTGGTGATCTCCATCGTATAAGTTGATAATCTGACTTCATATAGTGAAGTAGACATCAACATGGGGGAATAATGGATCCGACAAAGTGATTAAGACATATGATTTTAATAAAAAACTTTGACGAACCACATGTCTACAAAAGATACAAGAGAATATTGGTTTTTTATTGGTGCTTATATAGATGATATTCTACTCATTAAAAATAATGTGAGTGCATAATCTACAAAAGTGTGGTTGGCCCAATAGTTTCATATGTAGGACTTAATAAAACTAACTATGTTCTAGGTTTTAGATCTTAAGTGATCGAAAGAAGAAGATGATAGATTTGTCTCAAGTCTTATATGTTGACAAGATACTTGTGAGATTTCCTATGCAAAACTCTACCCTTCAAACATTGAATACAACTCTTTAATGATCATTCCCCTAAGACTCCTAAAGAGATGGAACACATGAGTAGGATACCTTATGTATTGGTAGTAGGTAGTCTCATGTATGCTATGCTGTGCAATAGACCTGACATTTGTCATTCTGTTGGTGTGGTGAGTCAAGATCTATTTAACCCTAGGATGGAAATATTGAATGGCAGTAAAGCATATCTTTTAATACCTCTGGAGAATAAGGAATTATATGCTCCTCACCAGATCTTGTATCGATGGGTTAAAAAGATTCGGACTTCAAGAACGATGAAGACTATCGTAGGTCTACATCCGTATCATTGTTTACACTTGATGGTGGGGCCATTATTTGGAGAAGTATCAAGCAATCATGCATTATTGATTCCACCATTGATGTCAAGTATTTGGCATCTTGTAATGCTACTAAATTGGCCGTATGACCAGAAAACCCTAACAGACATGGAGGTGGTGCCTGCATATGCACTATCATTTACACTGTATTGAGCTAACAATAAGACTATGGCAAATGTTAAAAACCAAGAGTCATCAGAGGGTTAAGAACAATGAATGGAAATATCATTTCATAAGACAAATAGTCGGTAGAGAAAATGTAATTGTCAGTAAAATTGTTACTGGGATAACCTTCTAAACTCATTTACTAAATGCTTGTCGACAAAGATTTTCGAAAGACATTTGCAAGACATGGCACATATAATATAGGGCAAGTGGGAGATTTCGTCAGTAAGATTTTTTTCCCCTTTTTTCTGAATTTTTTTCACTCCTTTTCCATCCTCTGAAATGAAGGATATTTGCAAGATTTTCTTAATTTTCAAAATAAAATTTGGTCAAAGGTTATTGTGGAAATTGGGCCGGGTCAATCGGCCTTTGGCCACCATTTCCTCATCGGGATTGTCGGTTTTCATTTTTCTGTGTAAATAAATGGAACTGCTATTTAAATCCATGATTGTTATATATTTATACCACTCTATGTCTATCCCTATTAAAATTTAAAAAAATTACTATTTTCATCCATGTCATATTCCAATATTATCCTTATTAAATTCATTTATTTAAACGCTATAGATTCATACAAATTTTATATATTCAACACACTCTAAATACATCCCTAATAAAATTTCAAATTTTAAAAAATCACCATATTCATCCACATTACATATAACATCAAGATGGTATTCACCTACATAATTCCAATATACATCAGTTCAAAGATTGTACAAATTTTATTCAAAGTAATAAATTCTTGTGATATTTGCTCTAACAATGTCTCTTTTATTGTTTACTATATTCTTTGTCTATTGAAGTTTTGAGTATTGGAGTTCTTTGAACATGTTCAAGTAATTTTTGCTGGTCTTTGTGGATTCGAGAGTTTGTTCAAAGAGACATGACATAAAATTCATTGAGTTTTTGAATTGGGTTATCTTGAAATTCATAAAATGAATTTACTGAATCGGATTCTTTTAAGGCTCATTGAGTTTCTATTTCATATTTTGTACTCCTTATTTGGGTGAAAATGGCTTAAAGATTGGATGGAATTATTTGTTTTCAATGTGAATGTGAAAGATGGTGAAATTTAGAGTATTCTAGGCATGACTCGAGTTATGGACGTTAATTGATTGAAATCAGAACGGGAAATGCATTTGATCTCTTTAAAAGTTAACAAAATATAATTAAGGGGATGTTTGATTCCCCTTTTTTCCAAAATACATTTTTCTCTCTTCTTTTCAACCACACATTCTTCATTAAATAATATTACACGAAAATAAAAATAAAAAATCTTTCTTTTTAACTACACATTCTCCATCAATCTACTATTCCAAAATACATTTTTCAAAAATAATGGGGCTCAAACACCCCTGAGTTTTTATTGTTATTGTTCTGACACAAGTTGATTGTTTAGGTTGTTTTTATGTATTATACCATTCTTGTGTTCAAGTCTCTTTGACATTATAATCAATTATATCATAAAGTCTCCTTTTTCAGTTCTGTAATTCCAAAACCACGTCGGTTCAATTTCTGCTATTACCATTCCCCTATCAGTTGAAGTGGAATAGGTAGGAATAGTTTTGTTACTTACTCCATTATTAGGTTTATATAAGGGTAGATCATTTAATGTTCATTTAAGGTTTTAGGGTTTAATATTTTACGATGACTGATGGTTAATCCTAGCATTTGTGTCTTCTCCCCATGTCCTTCATGCTCCCTGAGATGGAGATGATGTATGATTATCTGATTTGATCCAAATGTTGGCCTCTTCTTTACTTGCACCTCTTCCAATCATTTAAGAACTTTCTGCTTTTAGTTTTGATCCAAATGCTTTTATTTATAATTTTAGTTGAAGATTATATTTTATAACTAATAGAGTTCAAATTAAACACAGTTAAAACTTTGAAGAATGAATGTTGAAACAACCTCGATCTTGTTTTAAAAAATTAAAAAACCTGTAATTTTGTTGAAGAATGAATGTTGATATTTGAGAAATTGTGTCTGTAGGTTTGAGCGTATATTTTATGGTGAATTTTAACTCTTTATCATTTAAGCCAAGTTTATCATATTTTTTCAAAACTATCCCAAACTGTATGATTTTTGTGTAAGAACCCCATTACAATTTAGGTCCAGACAAGCCCATCAACCTATCAAGGGCAATATACCCCAAAACATCAATTAGAAAGTAAACTATGCTCCAACGTCCTACCTGTCACGACTTCAATGAGATTGGCTTATATGCACACGTGATAGGACCATCCCTTCAAATCACAACACCTCATACCCCAACCACTTAAGGATACCGTGGATGCCGAATGAATCACCCCCCCCCCTCCCCCCCCCCCCCCCCCCCCCCCCCCCCNGTGGACAGTATTACCGTACTATATATAGAACCGCTCCAGTGAAGCTTTACTCTTCTACAAGGGTTGGCCATGCATGGCCCAGACTACTCCAAGCCTGGGAAGAGCTATTAATGAGCCAGGCCACCATAGACCTGGACAGCATCGTCCATCTTCACACCACTAAGGTGTGTTTGTGGGTATGGAGGGAGATATTTACCGGGACTGAGCTTTAAAAGCCTGAGGCTTCCTGAGATGCCATCATCTTCAATGTATTCAGCACTGGCAAGCATATCTTGATTTATTCTGCTCAGTATTTCATTATCCCTATATATTTCCCAAGCTCTCTCTGCAGGAATGTTGAGCACAACTGCTGCTTTCATGCTTCTCATCTGTCTCTCTTCACTCTACTATTTTTGATACCACAGCTTGGTAATGAAAATATGGAAGTTTACTTTAAATGCACACACAGACGATGAAAATTAATAAACTAAGGAAGATATAATAGCTTAAGAAATAGATTCAAAATTACTAGTTTATTGGGGTACGAATCACGGATGTTCGAATTGGCGTCTTCCAGCAAACCAGACATATTAAATGTTGCAATCGGCACGTTAGATTATACCTTCTCCACTTACACAGGATGCAAATCTTATAAAAGTAGCACTCAAGTCTAATAAGAAAGAGATCCATGCCCAGAAGCTTCTTTTGTGGCTCCAGCCTCTAAGGCCTATAAAGCCATCAAAACTCGCATTATTCCAATTACTTAGAATTGAAGGACCAGAATTTTGTGAAATAAAAAATGGCAGAAGAATATAACAATAACAAATTCTGTGTACTACTTTGGGTTCTGGGGTGGAATGGGGCATTCAAATGTTAGATTTCTTTAAGAAATGGGAAGAGATGCCTGCAAAAGATACACCAAGATAAGACGAGATTCCTTTTGAATAAGTGAACTTCCATCATAATGAAATGCTCGTACAAACTCACATACTACAAGAAACAGCTATCCATAAAAGCATATTGAAAATGAATAGTGCTCAGGAACAAACAAGAGAATTCTTTGAAGACTATTAACATATTTCATATGAAGTTCTCACTAAATATTTTAGATATACATAACTGGAGGCACTCTGGAAATAACGTATAAGACTTGGAATGAACCAGTTTATGCAGTGGATTCTGTGGACGACTCTGTTTTATCCAGCTCGGCACTCAACATATGGTGGAGAAGGATATCAACTCTCTGACTTCTTGATTTGGTGCTGCACCATTTACAAGAAAAAAGGAGAAAATATTGATTTAGATTACATTGCGTTACCCTAATTTGTAAATGAAATATTTCTGAGAAGTATGATGTTGGCTATACATACCCAACATAACGTCTTCGATCCTTTCCCCTTTCTTCCTGAAATGAAGTAAAAAGGGATGCCTTACGGCCTGAGTGGTGATTACTTAACTATGGCATACACATCAATTGTCAAATACCGATTCATAAAATGCACCAAGAGTGAAATTAACGAGGAAAAGCTCAAATCATTTGATGGTATCTTTACCAATACAATTATACACTTTGTGTGTAAATTCTTAATTGAACTGCTGGCCTTAAGAGAAGAATAATTGTGTTGGAGGCACCATTATAATAATGGGACGTGTTATTCGAGGATACATTAAAGATATAAAGCCAGAGCAAGTAGTCAATATTTTTCAACATATAACCCCTATGCTGGGGAAAGGCACGTACTGCGATGCAATAAATGTTTCTGCAGCAGAGCATTGGTTTTTACCATGGCTGATGCCTACCTGTTTCTCACCATATTCAGGTGATGGCAAAAGATAATAATCTTAGGCGATGGATAAAATACAAAATGAAGTTCCTCTTTGAGTCATACCATCATGGCTGTTTCACATATAATCTGGAAAGTATTTGTATTCTAGTAGAAGGTTTACAGTAACTTCTCTTTAAATTAAAACGCAGGACCTCTCATTGGTGGTAATTTCTCAATTCCCACTTCAGAATAAGAGTTCGAAAATTAATGAGCCACATAATCAAGGGCAGGACCTGAAAGATTTAAGTTGTTTCACCCTCATTTTGAGTCTTAAGGAGAGTAGAATCTGGATCATCAAAAGATTATAACGAGCAGGCTAGTTCAATCCTTTTATATGATTTCTCAAACAACTCAAAGCATAAATTAATGGCAAATATAAGCAGCGCCTTTAGAGAACCTAATGAGGGCAGGTCAGTTTATCATCTAGTTCATTTCTCTGAAAACCACTGAATCCTTATGCTTCATTATCTATTGACATGGGAATATATCGATGTAGTAACTCAGACTTTCAAGAGACCTATCCTTGGGAAATTATATAAAAAGCACATTCGAAGAGGGAATATCCGACCAGAATTTGAAAGCTCAAAATTTCAATAATGTAAAAACAATCCATATATTACATCATTCTATCTGGAAACAATAATAATCAGGGCATTAAAGGATGACAGAACTATGAAATAAGGAAATTCTTGCCCTCATCTTTAATACCAAATCAGGATATCAGGGATGTTCCGAGAAGGTCAAGAATAATCGTCTTTCCTTTTATCCATTAACCATATACAATTTCAGCTTTTCTGGATAAATTTTAGTCCAACAATGCCAGAATTTAAAAGTATCCCACAGCAATTTCTTCCTGAAACTATTGTACATGTTACACTAACACTTTGGCCATACATTATTTTGCCCGTAATGCTTGGCTAAAAAAGTTGATAGAAATCTATGTCAAAATCAATAATTAATTTTATCCACATATTTCATGGGCTCCATAGTTTTTATTAACTTCTCAACCACACATTATATCGGCTTTTATCAAAATCTACTAAAAATCTGATTTTTAACTAAACCAAACAGGAACTATATGTAAAAAGAAAAAACGGAAAATGAAACGAATTGTTTGCTTCATTTATTCATTTAGTTTTTCCAAAAGGACTATCTATCTCGTTTGTGGTCTTTCCGTGAATCATCCAAGAGTTATATCCCAAATGAAAAGTATGCGACTACAACTTCATTTTAAAAAAGAAAACCATGAGTTGACTAGAGAAAGTAGATGTGGGACTAGATCATAAAATTAATGTACATCATTGTTCAAGAGAATCAATATTATTAACCCAATATATAATAGCTCATTTTGAAACAGTGAGATTGTTTTTTTGAACACAACGGCGGGAGGATTAATCCTCTATAAAAGAAAAAACTTGTGAAAGTAGAAACCCAAAAAGTTCATAGAATAGAATTTAATTATTCTAAATGCTATATTTTATATTTTGGAAAATCAGGGAACTAGAGTGATATATGCATTAATTTATTTTTTATTTGGGCCAATAATTAGATTTTGAGATAACAATGATAAGCATATCAATATTGGACTCGTTGGATGACTCGTAATTAATCATGTATATTAAATTCGAAAAAAGTTAATTTGGATGAACGAAACCTAAGTTATTGAAGTTGAAAGATATTACCTTAATTTGTAATTAATTAAGTTAATTATGAATTTAAATATTCTATTTCAGCCATGTGTCTAAATCATATTATGATAAAGTATAATTGAAATTCTATTTTAAATATTTTTATCCATGTACCATATCCTACACATTTCCCACTTTGCACCAACTCTTTAGGATCTAGGTTATTATTGCCTATGTACATATATATATGTATGGCATGATAGTGGAGATGATACACAAGAATATATATATGCATATATACGGCGCAGAAGCATAGACAGAAAACAAGATTTGGAACTTGATTTTGGTGTTATCTCTCCAAAAGATTTATTTAATCTCACGAGGTAGGATTACGAGATGCAAGTGATTTGTCCTGTTTAACTTATTTCTTCATGTTGATAAATATTATGCTAATGAAAGTTACGATATGGCCACCCAGTACCAAAGATATGATATATTATGAGTTCTTACCAATTTTCAAAAATATGATATGACGGTATGATATTTTTGACGCATGATTTCGGGATTGCACACAATATTCGTGTCCTGCTAAGTATTCCCATATGCTCACCATTTTTCATACCTTTCATGGATGGCAGGCGATGAGGTACAGTCGTTGTGCTTGGATTCATTGGACTTAATAAATTAAATATGGAGTAACGTGACTAAAGATTTTATTTTCAGCATTTACTTTAATTTTATTATTATGTGGGTCTTTTATATAGGATTTGGAACAAAAGTTGTTTGAATTTAAAATTCAGTGCGGTAACTTGATGAGTTCAAGCTAGTTTCTTTTATGTTGGTCTTCATTATTCAAGCTTGTTTCTATTATGTTAGGTCTTCTTTACCGTTAAAAGTTTCAGTTAAATAATAATGTTGATTTGGTGTTTTAACCAAGCAGTGTGTATTTTTGGCAAATTAATTCATGGTCTCCAGGCACATTCAATTAAAAAGATTAGTTATAATAATTGTAAAAGAAATTGTCACATTACCTCGAAGTTTAATGTTAATATAACTAATGATAATTATTTTTATCCATAAATAAATAAAGGATGTGCAAATTTTCTGTGTAACTTTGAGTATACATAATGTTATGTAAAAAAATTTATGTCATGATGCAAAATTTTATTAAAACTTTTGGTAGCAACTTAAATTATAAAATTTGGGTCGTTACACTGAAAGTTCATAACTGACTGACCTTGCCCTCCCCATCTTCGGAGTTCTCAGACGTTTCAAGCTCCATTTCAGCAAAGAAAGCCTCCAAGACAAATGCCACCACCTGAAATGATTAAAGAACAGTGACATCCCAGGTTATTTCACAACATTGACACAGGCCTCGGTAAAACAAAAACTCAAAAAAGGTCTGTAAATGTGTAACGGTTGAAAATGATAAGTGATGATCGGTTCAATATCATGACATGGCTTAGTTGAATTTTATTGTTACATTTCAAACACGTTTCAGTAATTAGATGTGCAGTTGGGTATAATCTAGGATACTAAACAAAAGAAAAAAGCATAGCGTTGACCTGATGTTAATTTGAAAAGAACGGAACATGCATTCTTCTATATGCATCAGTTCACTAACCATAATGCTACATTAATAAGTGTTTTCAGCATGAAATTGTTCAATATGTAGGTATGGATACGTAGGCATCATAGAAATTTATCTCAATGCAGTATTCCATTGAATCATAAGCATAGGGAGGTTGAGGTTCAAATGATATTAGAAATTGATTTTATCTCGTGTACTCTATCAAAGCATCGGATTTCTAAATTCTCAAAGGGCCCCCTGGAATTCCGAGCCTGTTGGATAATTTTTATGGATTATGTCGTTTCGTTGACTCGTACTAAATAATGAGATAATGAATCCCCTTCTTTTTGTCATTCAACCTCCCAATCAAATTCGTCGTAACACTCATAATGATCAACTTTACAAAGGTCCCGTTGTATTCCGGAAGCTTGTAGCATTGGCCTTGATAAACCCAAATTTAGTCCTTCTCCTCCAATAGGCGAGATATATATGTAAAACCCAAAAGAAAATAGTAGTAGTGAAGCACTGACTATAACTCACCAAATTCAAAAGCAGCAAGACTGAAATAAGATAGAAGCTGACAAAGTAAGCATAAGTCCAAGCTGTTCCAGTTAAATCCTTGTAGCTCTGAAAATTTCAGCAGTTATTCCAATCACGTTATACTACTTTTAAGTCCAAAGATAACACCAAGAAATAAGTTAAATAAGTTGTTGCAAAGCTAATTTGCATCTGTTTTCAACAGCAAGTTGGGATATAATCTTTGTATTGCAGTTTAAATAGAGAAAATATTCAAAATAAACTTCTCTTGTCAAACTTTGTATGAATGTAATATCTACAGTAGCATGCATGCAATAATCAAGACCCAGAAAGATGATATGGAGTATGTTTATGTATTTATTGTCTTCTCTCAATATCATCATAATTTCAAACTCAACCTAGTTATTGACCTGGCCAAGGTAAGTGGGTTACTGATTAACCGACGAATCACTGTCAGATCAAAAGTCCAAGAGCAAAACATTTTTTTAAAAATATACAAGCAATAATATAATAATATTAAAAGTCAAGGTGTGTCATATGTAAAATTTGAATTTCATAGAGGAAAGTAGTATAGTAATTAAAAATTTTCAAATATTTTCTTCATTATATAAAATCAAGTGAAAGATAATTAAGCCATTGTTTGGTATAGCTTGAATTGGGGATTAAAATTCAAGTCACAGTCAACAATTAATTTTAATCACACATTTCGTGGAATCCATAACTTTTCAACCACACATTTCATCAACTTTTTATCAAAATCTACTAAAAATCTAATTTTTTAGCTAAACCAAACATGGGCTAAGAGTTTTTCTTCTTCGATACTCTCTATATGACTACTCATCCTTTAATTTTGTTTTGGTTGGTAGGTATGACATTTTATCGTTGTAGTTTTATACTTGACTTTGAAAGATATGTGACAAATAATATTTTTGCTATTATGAAAAAATGTTATATGTACAAGTATATATTTATAGCATTTGAAATATATTTGATAATGCCTTATTTATTTTTTCACAAATAGATATATTAATTTAAATTTTTAACTGTGCTCAGCGGTTTCTTATTAAAACTGCCTAGTTCAGAAGTATAAATCGTCCAGTTTTTTACCACTTCAGGCAAGAACTTTCAGCCTTCCTTCATAAACAAGTTGAAATCTAGTGTAGCTCAAGACTAGTATACTAAAAGCACCGAGTCTTAAGTAGTTCTAGACTAGTATGCTAAAAGCACAGTCTTAACACTTAACTAATATTAAAATGGTATAGTCTGGATTATCATGCAAGTTCAGCAACATAACTACTATGCCCAGAAAGCCTACCCCCAAGAGGCATCATCTTAAAATATTTTTTCTCATAATATGAGTTGTAAATCCCGACTGCAATAGCCTTAATAGTTACAATTCAATTATAATCAATTCCAAAATCTACAGAAAAAGAGAATGCCCAAACAAATAGCTATGTTACAATGAATGGATGATGTAGTGATAAATGATGGCAATTATCACGAAATAATACCTGCATCCAGACTTGCCAGTTTCCCATCACTAGTAAATTGAAAAGTGTCACCATCCCATTGGGGTAGTCATTGAAGTTGAAAAGTAAGTAGCTTAATTAGTCAAGGAACTCCAGCAAAAAGAATTATTTCAATTAGGAACAAATATAATACTTTATGTCAAATATAATATTTTATAGCAAACCAAAATGTATATCCTCGGGAAATATTAAGACATACTATAGTGTGATGTTAATATAATTAGAATACATACTAGAAGATTTTCACTGTGACAAAGGATACTCATCATCAGAAAGATCAGTTCCTTCAAGATTCGGATTCCCGGCATTGACAATTCCACCAAAAACCTGGAATTTAAGAAGAGAACACACACACACAAAAAACAAAAAAAATAAAACAATAAAAAAATTAGCCAAAACCTACATGGAAAACATTCAGGACCTATCAAGCATCTATAATATGAAGATGGGGAATATTAATCTACCATATAGAAGTAAGAATGAAAATGTGTTTTCCTCTCTAGTCTAGATGAATAAAATAAATTTACTTGACTTTGAAGTTGAGAATAACAATTCTAGGAAAAAAAGCATACAAATGAGATAGTCAAAACAAGCATAACGCAAATGTGGAAACAAATCTAGTACCTGTACACCAATAGAGCAATAAATGCACAAGACACTGAATATGATCCCCAGATATGGCATTAGACTTGGTATTAGGGCCAAAAATGTAGTAACAAAAGCCCGATAACTTTCAACACGCATTAAGAGTCTAATCAATCTTAACATTCTTGCTATAAGAAGATATCGAATCCTGCAGATAAAATACGGCATTATTAAAATTTTGAAAGTTACAGAGTATCTTTAAGAACAAGAATTTCACACATTTATCGAGAAGGGAATGCAGTGCCAAATTTTCTTGCCAATGAAGGACAACAGTTTGACACTTTGAAGATGGTACAACCAATGGAAGGAAGTACAACGGCGACGGGGATTGCTTCGAATGGATAACTTTCAACTGCCGTATGCTAGGTACGAGAAATGAAGTCTCAGTATTTCTTTGCTATGGTAGTTACGTTTTTCATACTAGTACCTCCAAGTTTAGATTTTTGTAAAACCTTCTCTCTCTGCTCTAATAGCATCTCTTTCTATGGAGGTTAAGCAGAAAGTTCTCCTTGTATTAAATTTTCTATTAATAGAAAAGGTAGGACTAATGCCCCCACATTTAAGCTTAAGTTGAGGCCTGAAAATCTTGCCTATGCAAAGATGGGTTCAATAATAATAAAACAAAAATGAACTATCTCTTTCTTTCACTTAATTTCAACCAGTTAATGACGCACAATTATGTTTTACTGAAAATATCAAAATCACAGTTATTTTCTCCACTCAAACTTAGGAGAGATATTCTAAAAGCAGATTTGATCATCTTTCATGTAAAATCTATCTCCAATCAGCAGTCAGTCATCACAAACAAATCTTGATCATTGATTACAAATGAGTGAAAACATATTCTAATTTTAATAGTAAAATGTCGTTTTATCGGTGGATCAAGGACACAGGCATTCTCATCGCTTATTAATTTCAGTTTCTAAAATTGTGCAAGACTCTTTCAATGACGAAATTAGACAATTTGAAGCAGCACCCCTATGTAAGTTTCATGGTGATTTTTTGGCTGAAGAAGCGGGGGATGATACTTGGGTCAAATCTAGGCTCAGAGTCTCAGACAAGAAAAAGTCATCGTCAGCTAAAGTAGAAAATAGAGCAAGTCTGGAGAAGAAAAGAGGAGCAAGCAGCAGAAGACAGAAATCAGGGTGAAAAAATTTCTGTAGAAGAAACCTCCTCTTCATTCTCACTTAAAACTAAAACCCAAGTCGTAGTATTCTTCTTCTACTATTATCTCACCCTCAACCTCACCCTTCCCCGCATCTTCTGCGGGAGTAATAGCTTAATCCTGCTAATTAACATTTTTTACAATTCAGAATATTGATGTGATCTTCGCTAAATGGAAATTCAGACGATAATTTTCACAAAATACAACTAAAAAATAAATAGACTGAAAGCTATTAAGTCAAACTACCTTTTTTAAAAATTTGTGATGAAAAGATAAATGAAACATTATGATTATATGAGGAGTGTACCAATCCATATTAATCCATTAATAAATTTGACAGAAAGCAATTTTCTGGTATTCATTTTTACAGAGAATTGTAGGCTTAGCAGAAGTGACAGCACAAATCACATGCATAGCTTTCTCATGTGAAGCATTCTCACCATTCTCCGTTGGAAAGGAAAGTCAGCCCATGTGGGGACATAAACGTTGTCGTTTCTCCAATAACTGTGAACAACAAAAAAAGATTGCTTTTGATCCACATACACTAAAAGGAAGAATAAGCAGCAGTCCATAAATGGCCAGCTGGAATATATCTTTTTAATTCAAAGTCAAATTATAGGGATAATACCAGTTGGATAAAATGGACAATTCTTATAATGTAATCCTCGTCACTTAGAACGACGCTAACAAAATTATTAAGTACAAAACTAAGATCATGGGATATGAAGATCATGTGTGATGTTAAATGACACATGCATTTTTGAGTTTCATCTCGACTTTATCCATTCGTTACTATTTGATATTACTTAAGACAAGATTTAAATAATACACGTGTCTCCTTCTCTAACCGCTTAAACTTTTAGATCAAGTGGCTCAACAGTGTAAAGACACGTTTGGAATTCAAGTCTCGTCGCTACTCAATAATTGAGCACATATTAGGCTTTCGTGAAAAAAAGGAACTTCTCACGTACATGAGTAGGGATGGCAACAGGTGGGTCGGGGTCGGGGCAACCTCCGCCCCCCCCCCCACCCCAAGCCCCACCAGGCAATTTCTGCCCCGTCCCCGCCCCGTTACCCGTTTAAGGCTGGACAAGGGCTTGCCCCGTTTAATTTTTTTTTATTGCCCCCATTCATTAATGTGAAATAATAATATATTTTTTAATTTTTTTATTTATAAAATTTTAAATTTAATAAGTTTAATATCTTGTAAACTAAGACTTTTATTGTTTGTCATAATTTTTTAGATAATCTTAGTTACCATTTTCTATTAGAACTAATGAAATTTCGTGAAATTTTCAATTTAAAGTATTGAATACTTTAAAAAAAGAAAAAGGGGGGGATGCGGAGTACTCGTACCCGCCTCGTCCCTGACCCGAATACCCGATTAAACGGGTAATTCCTGCCCCGTTTGGGGAGCAGGGCCTCGCGGGTATTGTATTTGTCGAGTTTTTTTGTCATCCCTATAAATGAAAGAGTGCTGAAGATACAATTAAAATGGTATATATGTCAAATATACACAATAATATTCAATAAAACTCAATTACAATAATTTACAATCAACTAGATAGGTATTTATAGTAGATGTAATCGCCGTAATCTTCGTAATCCTAGTCAACCTTCAATCTCATTGACATCCCCCCTCAAATTGATCCTGGGTGATCAAAAAGTATCAATTTGCCAACAAGAAACTGATGACGTTGTTGTGTCATTGCCTTAGTAAACACGTCAGCAATCTGAACGTCGATGGTGATGTGTGGAAGGGAAATAATATGACTATCATAAACCTCACTGTAAAGAAAATAAATTGGGAATCCCATATATTAGGCAAGCACGTATATTAGGCAAGAGTATAATTATGGGTTACTATGTTTCTTTATTTACAAATTTTCCATACGTGTACTCTTTAACGTCTCTATATAATGAAGTTGAGGAGGGGAAGATAATTATCTTCTTCTCACCAAAATATTTCGTTCTCTTCATGGTATCACAGCAATAGAATTTTTTTTTTCATTCTCTTCTTTTCTTTGCAGCCGCTACTGCTTCTTCTTCTTCTTTTTTTCTTTTTTTTTTCTTTTGTCCAGATTGCTTACCTTCGTGGTTGAGGTGTTGAAGTAATCAATTACAAAACATGTGTTGTGTCATCGTTACCTCGAAAGTATGCTCCCTGTTGTCGATTGAATGGTTGATTGAAGACGACGGTATCCAGTCGAGTGGTTGTACAGTGTTCGCGGGCATCCCTGCGGTAGTTTGATGGTGTTTACATGGTGATTCAGTTGCTGTAGAAGGTGTGTTGTTGTCTTGTGGTGTGTTAAAAATTAATTTGGGCCTTCTTTTAATCCAGCTACGTTGGGCTTTACTTGGGCTATTTCTTTTTGGACTTCAAATTGTGTGGGCTTCTTATTATTCCAGTGGATAATTGAGTCTTTATTTTTGTCTCATTTACTTGTTGGACTGGTCAGTCATTTTTTTTTTTATTCGGCTCATTTGTGTGGTTAGTATCATGTCATCCAAGATTGAAATGTTCAATCTAACTGGACCCATGACGCTTGAAAAATTAAATGAAAGAAATTATACTTATTGGGCCAGATGTGTTGAGGTCTTTTTGCGAGGTAAGGGGTTATTCAACCACTTAATTTTTGACAAACCGTCAGCCAAGTCCTTAGACAGCGATTCTACAACGGTTGATTCTACTCTCAATGATCGATGGGATTAAGAGGATAACACAATCATTGGACTTATGATCAGTAGTATTAAGCCACATATCGAATCTTCATCCCTTTATATGTCTACAGCTAAGCAAATTTGGGAGCATATCAAGCATATACATTCTGGAACTGGAAATGTCACCCGAATCTATGAGACGTGTAAACAATACTTTGGGCTTGAGAAGGGATCATCCAGCCTTGTTGAATATTATAATAAGCTTTTGGCTGTCTATTAGGAGAGAAATGTGCATCAACCTCTCTCGTGATTTGAAGATTATGGAAAAACAGCGGGAAGACATCGACGTTATTAAATTTCTTATTGGTCTTCCACTAGAATTTGAGGCAATTCGGGCACAGATATTAGGGGGGTGTTTGACACCCATTTTTGTGAAAGAATGTGTTTTTGAATAGTTATTGATGGAAGAATGTGTGGTTAAAAAGTAAGGAGAATCTTTAGGTTTATGTGTAATATTATTTTATTGATAGAATGTGTGGTTGAAATGAAGAAAGAGAAAAAAATGAGAATGAGAATGAGAAAAAAATGGGTGTCAAACGAGGGCTAGGTGGAAAAGATCTTCCCAGTCTTGCAGAGACATTCTCTGCTATTCAACGCTCTACTTTGTCAGATGATAGTACACCCAACGGAGATCATTCTGTTTTTATTGCTCGGGATGGGTCAATTTCGAGGTGGACGTAGCGGTCAAAGTGGACGTGGTGATAGCTCTCGGGGTGGACGAGATACAAGGGGCAATGGTCGTTCGGGAAATTGTGAGCCTCGAAAATGTACTCACTGTGGTCGTCTAGGTCACTCTATTGATTATTGTTGGGACTTACATGGCAAACCATCCAGTTCCGCTAATCAGGTCTCGTCTGCTGAAGATCATCACCCAAAATCTGGGCCGGTAACTAACCCTAGCTCAACACAAGATTCTGATTTCTTATATGTCCCTCGGGATGATTATGCTGAGTTCTTGGCTCATAAACAAGCCACTTCCACTTCTATGGCCACTCTCGCTAAATCAAGTACTACAGCTTCTCACTGTTTACTATCATCCTCTAACAATCCATGGATTATCGATTCTGGAGCCACTGAACACATGACTGGTTCGTCCACTTCTCTTCTTGATTATCATCCTGTTACTTTTTCCAAAAGTGTCACTCTTGCTAACGGTTCCCGAACTAGTGTTGCAGGCTTAGGCAATGCCCATCTTAGCCCTAATATTGCTTTATCGACTGTCCTTCATGTTCCTGGCTTCCCTTTAGTTATTCCTGGCTTTCCCTTTAGTTTATTGTCTATTAGTAAAATTACCACAACTCTTCAATGTTCTGTAACATTTTATCCTTCTTTATGTATTTTTCAGGATCTCAAGACGAAGAAGATGATTGGTATGGGGCATGAAGTTGGTGGCTTGTATTATCTAGATCTTTCACCAGTCTCTCCTCCTCGAGCTCTCCAGTCTTCTGTTTCACCCATACAGTGGCACTGTCGTCTTGGTCACCCTCTTCTTTCCACTTTAAAACGTCAAGTTGTGACTCTTCGTAATGTGTCCTCACTTCAATGTGAGGCCTGTCAACTTAGCAAAAATCACCGTGTATCTTTTCCTTCAAGAACTGTTAGTCGTGTTTCTAGTTTATTTGAGTTAGTTCATTCTGATATATGAGGCCCAATCAATATTTCCTCTAATAAATTTCAATATTTTGTCACTTTTGTGGATGATTATTCTCGAATGACATGGCTATTCTTAATAAAAAATCGTTCTGAGTTGTTTTCTATTTTCAAATCTTTCGCACTTTGATCAAAAATCAATTTCATCAGAAAATTCGTATTTTGCAGTCTGATAATGCCAGGGAATATGTCTGCTTATTTTACATCATTTCTATCTTCTAAAGGCATTATTCATCAAACATCTTGTGCGTATACTTCACAACAAAATGGAGTTGCCGAACGCAAAAATCGCCATTTGTTAGACGTTACTCGTGCTCTTCTTTGTCATATGCATGTCCCTAAACGATATTGGAGTGATGCTGTCCTTACTGCATGCTATCTCATTAATCGCATGCCATCCTCCGTTTTAGACGGTACTTCTACCTTCTCTCTTTTGTCTTCCTCCTCTCCATTCTTTGTCATATGCATGTCCCTAAACAGTTTTGGAGTGATGCTGTCCTTACTGGTTGCTATCTCATTAATCGCATGCCTTTCTCTATTTTGGACGGCGCATCTCCTTTCTCTCTTTTGTTTTCCTCCTCTCTACAGTACTCGCTACCTCTCAGGGTTTTTTGGTGTGTTTGTTATGTTCATCACTTTGGCCTCAATCATGACAAACTTGACTCTCGCTCTATGAAATGTATTTTCCTTGGCTACTCCCAAACACAGAAGGGGTATCGTTGCTATAATCCTGCCCTACTACGCTACTTCATCAGTGCAGATGTCACTTTCGACGAATCCACACCCTATTTCTCATGGTACGTTTCTCGAATCCACTCGAGATCCCGTTACCTTGCCTGTTCCGTATCTACCAGTTGGTGTCTCTCCAGTACCAGACTCCTCTTCGTCTATTGGACCAGAGTCGTCGTCCTCTCATAGGGAACCACCTCCTCCTTTACAGGTTTATACTCGAAGATCTAAGCCATCAACGTCTGTAGTCCCTTCCGTCACCTTGCCGTCTCCAGATCCTACACCAATCATATGTTCTGACCCTGGGTCATTGCCCATTGCTCTCCGTAAAGGTAAACGTGCTTGTATCACTCAACACCCTATCAGCCACTATGTCACTTTTGATTCGTTGTCACCATCTTTATCCTGTTTCACATCCCAGCTTTCTAATGTTTTTGTACCTAAGACAGTACCAGAGACTTTATCTGATCCTGAGTGGCGAAAGGATATGGAATTGGAAATGACGACCTTGCATGAGAATAAGATTTGGGACCTTGTTCCTCTACCGCCTGGTATACATCCTGTTGGTTACAGATTGGTCTATGTTCCAAAGTTCAATCCTGATGGAATTGTTGATCGGTTGAAAGCCCGACTGGTTGCTAAAGGTTACACACAGACCTATGGTATTGATTACGATGAAACATTCTCTCCAGTTGCTAAGATATCTTCTATTCGCGTTTTGATTTCTATTGCTGCTAATCTTGGTTGGCCGCTAATTCAGTTGGATATTAAAAATGCCTTCCTTTATGGAGACTTACACAAAGAGGCTTATATGGAGCAACCACCTGGGTTTGTTGCTCAGGGGGAGTGCCAGAACTATATTTGTAAGTTGAAGAAAGCTTTATATAGGTTAAAACAATCACCAAGGGCATGGTTTGGGAAGCTTTCTGAGGTTGTTTTAGAATTTGATCTTCAGAGGTTTCAGACAGATCATTCAGTATTTCATCAACAAACTGGAGCAGGACATGTTATTCATGTAGTGTATGTAGATGATATTGTAATCACTGGTGATAATGCAGATGGGATTGTCCGATTGAAACAGTTTCTACAAAAACATTTTCAGACCAAAGATCTAGGCAAAGCTTCGATATTTCTTGGGTATTGAAGTCGCTAGGTCTCAGGCAGGTATCAACTTATCTCAGAGAAAATATGTTCTTCTTGACCTGTTAGATGAGACGGGCTTTCTTGGAAGTTGTCCAGTTGATACTCTTATGGACCCTAACGTGAAGCTTTTGAAAGATGAAGGGAAATTGTTTGGAGAACCAAGAAAATATTGACGTCTGGTAGGGAAACTGAATTATCTTACCATCACATGACTAGATATTTCGTATGCAGTTAGCGTGGTTAGTCAGTTCTTAGATGCCCCTCATATTTCTCATTGGGAAGCTGTGATACGTATTGTTCGGTATTTGAAAAAGGCTCCAGGTCTTGGATTATTATATAAACCAAATGGACATATCAGAGTAGAAGGGTTTATAGATGCAGATTGGGCAGGATCTCCGTCAGATAGAGATCTACTACTGGTTTTTGTACTTTTCTCGGTGGTAATCTTGTCTCTTGGAAAAATAAGAAACAAACTGTAGTAGCAAGGTCAAGTGCAGAAGCAGAATGTAGGGCGATGGCTTATACCGCAAGTGAGGTTGCAGCACTTTCTTCAAGAAATCAATTTCTCAACTTCTACTCCTATACCGATATTCTGTGATAATCAGGCTGCTCTACATATTGCATCCAATTCAGTCTTTCATTATAGGACCAAGCATATTGAAGTTGACTGTCACTTTGTTCGGGACAAGATAGTGGGCAATCAATTGTGATTTCTTTGTTCCAAGATGGGCTTATATGATATATATGTTCCAAC